GGTAGTTAGGATGAGTTGGCAGCACAAGTGTGTGTGCTATGCCACTGTATAAATACCAAGTGTAAGCTTATTATTTGTTATCAATGAAAAGATATTTTCTCAATAATATTCTGTCTGGAGGTCATACCACAACCACCATACATCTCATTGCCTTTACTTTCATTGTTACCGCATCAGTCATCATTCATGGTTGCCTAACATCACAGAAATGCAGAAACCTTTCTAACAATTATTCTGTTACAACACAACCACATTCTTTAGTGAACCAAATATGCCAAGGGATTGGTGGATGGGACGTTGGACACTTATTTTGCCACTAGTTCCAATGAATGGAGGAGAAAATTTGATCCGTTAATTAATATGGAATGGCCTAGATACATAGTTGTGTGTGGCGGGTCAACTGAGGTGCATTAATAGCATGATATATTACAGGTTATTTTATATACCTCAAGTGGGCCTAGATACATAGTTGTATGCTGTGGGTGGTTGTTAATTACTAATGTTGTCTCACTTCCACCATTTGACAATATATCATACAATGCAGAATGCAAACATTGATTTTTGCTTTTTGTCATTTATGTTGATTCCACTGTTAATATATCATACAATGCAGAATGTAAACATTGATTTTTGCTTTTTGTCATTTATGTTGATTCCACTGTTAATAATCTGTCTACCTTGATTGTGCAGGTGTTCATTTTGTACACTGTAACAGTATCATTACTCTTTGAGATCCTTGCTCTGGCAATCCTTAAAGGTGTGGATTATTTTTTACATTCTTTTTATTTGTAAAGTTATGTTTCATAATCATATCTTGCCTTTTGTTTCTTTACTCATCTCCATGCTGCTGGTCCTTAGTTACCCTGTTTTCTTGCATGCAGTTGTCTGTTTGTACAGGACAGTACTTTTAACCATTTTGGAAAATCTCAAGCCTTTTAGAAATCATTAATGAAAAATTGACTATGGCAAAGCCCTATTGAAAAACCTATTTCCTTCTGTAAGAGCATAAGAGCAGTTTCTTTTTATGATGTTTGTTGAGGTTTGTATAATCTGATCCATTCTAAGGCAAACCTGCCTAGTATTGGGCCATGGAGATAGCTCTATGCCTTGTTTGTTGCGTTTCCAAACCTCACTTGGTGTTTCTCAATTCCAAATTTGCCAATTCGGAAAACAGGATTCTGTAATGTCTTACAGCATGGTATTTTGGATGAATAGGTAGTTGTCATCTTCCTTTCTACAACAATAGTCAGTGCAACTTTGTATATCATGGCTTCTTGATATGGGTTGTGGCAGCATCAGCGCTTGATGAAATCACAAGCATTTCCTACTGCTGGTTGATTAGCTCACCTGGCCCTTCAAGTTGTGCCAAGTTTCAATTTTACAATGTAGACAACCCATACCTGAGGTTACTCACATTAGTACGGAATTTAAAGAAAATCCTTTGTAGTTGAAATATTATATTGCAGATTGTTTCTTTTCCTGGTTAAAGCATTCAGATTGTTTCATTTCCTGGTTAAAGCATTATTTTGGTTTTTCTGTGTATTACACTGATAAGGTCCGGCGTCCAATTCCTTTGTCTTTTGCAGATCCAGCAGTAAACCTAGTGACTTCAGGACCTTATGGTCTTATATTTGCATCTTTTGTACCCTTTTTCTTTGATATTCCAGTTTCAACACGCTTTCGTGTATTTGGTGTTCGCTTCTCGGATAAGTCTTTCATATATCTAGCCGGCCTACAGGTAAAATGTGTGCAATCAAAGTATTCCATCTAACCATAGATGTTGAAGAACTATAGCTGTCTACTTTCCCCATGCACTAAATTCTAAATGTTGTTCTCTCTTGCAGCTTCTTTTATCATCCTGGAAAAGATCAATCTTACCAGGGATATTTGGAATCATTTGTGGTTCCTTATATCATCTGAATGTCTTCTGTATCCGCAAAGCAAAGGTTATATTTCAATCTGACTTTTGAGGTTCACTTAAAAAGAAAAAAGAACAGGAAAAATATGCATTCAATCAGACAGTAATTAACATTTTTTTAACGCTCTGAACTCTCTAAGATATAGTTAGATTGGGCCTTGGCAATGGAAAAGTAAAGCCTGGCTTTTGTGAACTGCTATTTAAAATAAATTATTTTCTTGAATTAAGGAGGTTCGATAAAAGAGGTCACACTTGGTGCGATGGCAAGTGCCTTCGCCCATGAGCGGTAGGTCTCGGGTTCGAGACTTGGGAGCAGCCTCTCCATAAATGGGGGTAAGGCTAGCCGACATTCACCTCTCCCAGACCCTGCATAAAGCGGGAGCCTTGTGCACTGGGTACGACCTTTTTAAGGAGGTTCGATAAATCATGTTCTCAATGGCGCTATTAAACCTTTGATTTTTCAGTGTGAAATATGGCAGCTTTTCAGTATGTGGACATAATTCACTCTGGATTTTAATCAGTTACGAATTTCACTAAAATTCAGTGTTTTTTTTTTTTTTTTTTCCAGCAATTCCATTCGTGTATTGCTTTTAGTTGACCAAGTGCATTTTTTACATTTTTATTTATTTAGACTTTTCCATTCTTTTACAAGGAACGGTGGATTTATGTCCACATGTGTCTCTGTGCATGTACATGCGTCACTTATGTGTCTGTCTGTATGCATGCATGCATGTATTTACGGGATATGATTCGATCTCGGATTCTGCTGAGTTACTTTTTAGTTAAAAGAAATTCAATTAAGACTGCCTGCTGAGTTACGCATTCTGCGGGATATGAATTTGGTCATGCATGTACTTAGCCTTCTTATTTCTCACTTACATTTACAAACGTAAACACTTCAACATTATCAGGTCAATACGGTTGCTTATTTTGCATTTAAGACTTTCTTAATTAATTTAATTCATTGTCGTGCATGTCTCCTCTCTTTTTACAGTTCCCAGAATTCATTGCTTCTTTTCTTTCACGGCTTTCTTGGCCATCAATGGGGACTCCGCCAGCAGCACCATCTAGAAATGTTGTGGGAAATGCACCACCATTCACAGCTCCGCAAGTAGAGGCAAGCATTCTTCTGTTGCAGTTAATCTCTATTCGCTGTTTAACTAAAAAAATGTCTATTTTCCTTGAAAGACAAAGGCTTACTAATCAAAACATTACTTTATGGGAACAACATTTGCTAAAGGTGGCACCACAATGCAGGACTAAGTCTGATCAAAATAGAATGCAGGTTTAGTCAAACTGAGATAGGGACCAGAATGTTTCACATGAGTGAGTGAGATTAGAGTTCGTGAGTACCTTTTTTAGCTTCGCATACATCTCTGTTTGATCTTGTCTGTTGTTTCTGTTTGATTTATTCAAGGCCATAATAAAGAGGGGTGTTTGAGAAGCTAAAAAAAGAGTGAAAAATCGCCTACCTATATAAAACTTATAGAGGTAGGGCAATTTTTATTGACCCTCTTATATGGAATGTTGTGCAAGGCACATGTGTTTAAGATGGCCTAGCGGTCGTCAGATAGAATTAGGGATGAAAAGGTTCGCTCCTGGTGAGTGGCACTAATTAAAGAGATGATGAGAGGACTCATTTGCGATGGTTCCAGTTTTGTACTACTCTTTTAAGTGCAGAAGCTCATTTTTACATCTCACACACCCCTCTCAATTTCTGGCCGTCGAATAGAATGAATTGAAGAAGATCAATGGGCAAACATTAACATGGGTGTGGGATGTAAAAATGGGTTTGTGAATTGCACTAGGCATCATGGGAAGTATGAATGACAAAAAGAAAAGAAATAACATTATGACCCTCAAGTAATTTGAAAATATGATATATGTAAACGCTAATGTCGTGTTTATTTTGTCCTGGCTCAAATCAAGGACGAGTCGTTTTTGGTAAAATTAATTTTGGATTCTGAGGCTAAGTTTTCTTTGTTCAAATATGTTCCTTTTGTTTTCTAAGAAAGAACATAAATAGGCGGAATGAAACTGGGGCAGATTTAAATGAGACGCATGTCATTTGGTGTTGGAAAATATTGGTGCGCAAATAAGTTTTAGATATTGAAATGAACATAGAGGACTGCTTATATGTATTAGCTAGGCTTTTACTTATACTGCACAAGTTATTGGATATATAAGCTTTTTGGGTGTAGTTCTGTTTTGATGTCATAATTTTCTGGTTTGGTTTCAGAGAAACATTCCCTCTTCCATGTCTGCAACAGAGCCAACAGAGGACTCCATTGCTACTCTGGTTTCTATGGGCTTTGATAGGAACTCTGCTAGACAGGCACTAGTGCAGGCTAGAAATGACATCACTGTAGCAACAAACATCCTCCTAGAAGCACAGGCCCACTAATTCCCTAATTATAGTTTTGGGTGGAAATTCCACACTTGAGGATGAAAAATTCATCCATATCTCATGGTGGCAAACAAATTTACAGAGGACGGGAATCGATGCGCCTTCAGAAGGATGTCTGTTTTATTTATTTGCTTAATATTGTTTTATCTTGTAGCTATTGCGCTCGTAATATGTATTAATTATTATAGTGTTTATGCAAGAGTAGGAGGATATAGAATTTGTCTGATTCGTATTGGAAGCATGCCTATTGTTTTAAATAGAAAACTGGAGATGTACAGTTGCAGTTAAATTACATGGAACTCCTTTTTAAGGATACTATTTTGTGTATTGTTTCTCTTTCCAAGCCTCTCGATCTCAAAATTTTGTTTTTAAAATTGAAGAAGAGGAAGAGAGTGAAAGCCATCCTGGGAGTGGAGAGAGAGGTTTTTATTTATTTTTATTTATTTTTATTTTTTATAGAAATGATAAAATCACTTGAAGGTCAGATTTAAAAATAAATAAAAATAAAAATTTTGTTTTGTGAAATTATGGTATTCTCCATAACTTTTTTGTTGTGATAAAAGACAAAAATATTTTTACTCCCTAATCGAAACAGCTTATGTCTAAATAAAGAAGTCACTTTTCATTTCTAAATAAAGAAAGTTGGATGGTACTTATAGAAAAGGAAGAGGGTAATTACATAAAGTACAAGCTAATCGAAACAGCTTATGTCACGTATTGGTTATATCTTGCCAGTTCACATGATAGGATCCTCTTCCTCTAGTGAGTTTTTTTTTTTCTTTTTCTTTCAAATCGAATTGACCCGAATTATGACGCCCATCTTCTCTTTGATACAAACTATAACTATATCGAGAGAAGGGGATGACCTCAAGTGTTCTTTGCTCTTAACAGTTTTATACATATACAAAAACAGAAAAAAATCATGCCAAATATACCTCCATGACAACATTTTCAGTCACCTAACTGAGCTTGCGTAGGAAAGAACGAAAAACAAAACCCGAATCTCCAAAATCTTATATAAGACAGATCGACACTGCATTTTTTTTCTTGCTGCGGCTGCTCAATTTCAACCTCAGTACAACTCAACGACTCCTTTTCCTGTGCGGATAGCTGATTTTCTCGGAAATTTTATACCATGTTAAATGGTATTCTGGCATTTCTAAAGTTGTAAATGTTCCTTGGAAAGGTAGGTATTGGACCCCTTCTGCTGCTTTTCTTTGACAGATTAGATGGTGCTGACGTCAACTCGGTTTTTGTGGAGCTGGAAGGCAGGGGTGATCCAGCTTCCACAACTGCATTGGGTGCCTGCCCAATTGAAGTAACCCAAACGAGCTTCGCAATGCACACAGGACAACTTTCCCTCCATTGCACCTTCTTCGACTGTGTAATGAGAGAACCAAGAGTAAGAGAAATCACACTAAACAAGATGCCACCAGCAACTAAATACAAAAAAATTCACAATTAATTAAATCTTAAGCTATAATTTGATTAATATATTATCAGAGTCAAAAGTGTAACATTTATGGCATTAGGTCATAATAATCAAATTAATGAAACCAGGTAATCCTCTTCAACGACAGAGATCTGCTGCTTGCTTAATTAACTATTATGGCCATGTAAAAGGTAGGTCATACAGTTATAAAAAAAAGGGCTTGAAAAGTTTTAGTTTTAACTAAAACCCATGTTATAAGTTTTGTTTAATAATTAGTAACAAGGCCCATATTAAAGTAGTCCAACTAAAAATGGCTTAACTATAATAAATTATGATTTGTCGATTTTACCCCTAACTTTTTTAGGTTGAGTTCCAGATTTTCGTCGTTAATAGAGTTCATCGTTGTATCGCAAACCTTCTTTCTCATTGAAACAAAAATATAGATCCTCATGCTATTTAATTTATATTTTGTATTATTTCGTTGAAACGTGATCGTCGTTATTATTCATAGTGTATTCGAGGTATTGTTTTTCAATTTTCGTTCGAGACTTGGGAGCAGCCTCTCTATAAATGGGGGTAAGGCTAGCCGACATTCACCTCTCCCAGACCCTGCGTAAAGCGGGAGCCTTGTGCACTGGGTACGACCTTTAGTGGAGTTCATCGTTTGTTTCTCCAGAAAATAAATTTGAGATCTGCAAGTTATTCAATAATAACGACGGGTCACTATTTCAAGACTGTAAAAATAAACTGTTTTTGGATTTTAAGTAACACTGTTTCTGGAATCTAAGTTACTGTTTCTAGAATCTAAATGACTGTTTCTGGAATCTAAATCACTGTTTCTGGATCCAAATGAAATAGACACTGTTTCTTAAATGTAAGCTAGAAAAGAAATTGTAAAATTCATTGTATTTGGATTCAAAGCAAAATAAGTATCTTGTTTCTTAAATATAATCAACTAATGCATGAAAAAAAAGAAACAATCAAAGGTTAAAACATAGACTGTTTCTGGAATCTAAGTCACTGTTTCTGGAATTTAAGTCACTGTTTTTGGATTTTGGTTCTTTTCTTTCCAAATACAGTGTTTGTTTGTGCACAGAAAAAACAAACACTGTATCTGATTTTTTTTTTTTTTCCAAAAACAGTGTTATGTTTTGGATTCCCCAGAAACAGTTTTATGTTTTGGTTCTTTTTTTTTTCCCCTATTTATAGATGCCTAACATGTACGTACATCAACAGGACCATAGGTCCTTATTGGATCTGATTGGAATAAAATACTAACACTATAAATTGTTCGTGGTGCAGATAAGAGGATGAGGATGATGACGATGACGAGGAATAGGAGGATAAGGGCACGAAAAAAGTAGACAATAGTTTTGGATGGTTTTTTATTAAACTTTGAGCCATTTTGGTTAAATAACATTTTAGGATGGTTTTTGGTTAAATATTTGTTGGCCCAAACCTTTTTCATTAAAGCACTCTTATATTAATGGCACGATCCAATTCTACATTCAAATTAATCAAATGACTATAGAGGTGTAAGTTTACCTGCTGTCATCCACTTTAGAGGCTCAACAAAAATGGATGAACATTCAGAATCAGAATCCTCATACTTGTTGTATGAGTTGCTACTTTTTCGCTTGTTCCAGCCGAAGGATTGCTCTCCCTCACCTGGAATGTGATCCTCAACATTGTCCTGCAATGCAACAACTCTTCGGCATTTCTTGCAGCGGAAAGCTGGTGTAACAGTTTTTCCTTCATTCGAAGCTGCTTCCACTCCAGAGGCAACTTCACCAGCCACCCCAGGATCTGCTCCAAATTTAGAACTGTCCATTCTATCCCCACGATGATAAGATTCACCTGAAAGGAAGGAACAAATTTTCAATTATAGCAGCAAAAGAGAAATTCACATTTGCCAAAAAATTTGAAAACACCACCGAAAATAACATCTCCTATGCTGAGACAAACAATGCACATAGTAAACAAACATAAAGAAAACTGCCTTGCTATTCCTTCCCAAGGTGTCATCGCCGTTCCCCTAAACATTTCTTTTCTTCTGTTAATAGTTTAGGTGGTAGATGAGGGGACAAGGGATTTTAAGTTAGAGATCATGGATACGGTAGCAGCATTTTAGAAGTTTTTATGCTAGTATTCAAAAATACATCCTGAACTTCCAGTATTTATCATCTGAAAAAACTTGATCCACTTCACTCTGGAATTTTTCTTTTAACCTATGACGGATAAAGCTTAATATGATTAATTATTTAAAAATAAGTCCTGAACTTCCAGTTTTTATCATCTGAAAAAAACTTGATCCGCTTCTCTCTGAATTTTTTTTCTTTAAACCTATGACGGATAAAGCTTAAATTTGGATTAATTACCCACCCCATGGTAAAATGTATTGCTTTCAACTGGTAAAAAAAAATGGCTTGATTCATTGCCAGCCTATAACCGTACACAACCAATTTGGTAAGGGAATGCTCCTTAGCATCTTTCTAACAATAAATTTTTATGAGTTTAACATCACTCGAGAAAAGCCATAATACGACAATGTTTGTAAGTTACAGCGCAAGAATTATAGCCTAGTCACTATGTCCCATGGGACTCATTAAAATTTATAATATGAAAAAATAATGTATCAATCAATATCCCTTCATAAGATAGATGATGTGGGACATAAGGAAAAAGAGGGGGAGGAGAAGAAGGGGGAAGGGGGAGGGGGATTAGTAAGCCCTATTTATGGGATAGACCATTAAGAGAAGGCAACGTAAAGAAAAAGAAAATAGTGTACCCAATACTTTCAGTCGAAAAGACCTGTATATGGGGCTGGCACAATCAACCTTGAAGCCCATTTCCTCGTACATTTTGAGCTGTGACAGGATCAAATAGAAGAGTAAAATTCATTACGGGCCAATTGCAAATGAACATAGCAGAAAGTGATGTTATCTAGTATAAAATGTGTTATAAGACTGCCTTGCATCACCTGATCAAGAAAACCGTCATTGGGGCAAACAAAGTCACAGCTTTGTCTCAGGGATTTTAGTGCATCTGTAGGAATGCATAAGAGGGAAGAAAGGGGTTAAGACTGTAGCAGTTAAGCATAAGTAACCTGACTCTGCCTTTTGCCCAATTCAATTGCTTAGTAATTTTTATATACTTGTCAAGTTATATATGCTTGTCAAAACTATTTTTATCACCAACTGAGAACCATTTGGATTTCAAAAAACACAACAGTTGCAAATGGTTACGTGTTAAGACAAAGAATACTTAAAGCCATGGTTTGTTCACACCTTCTTGTGATAGATTTTCTGTTCTCATCAGATATGCTGTAATGATAGCTGCACTGCAACGGACACATGCAAAGAAGGTTGTAAACCATATGAATTTGAGAATTCAGAAAAACTTGAAAAGCTAATAGAATGTGGGCCTTTTCGACAAATTTCCGATATATGTTAGCAGAATTGTGCACAGCTCTAATTGTTAACTTCTCTAATAAAAATGGCATGTGTTTAAGAAAAAGAAAACGCAAAAAAGAAGTCCCAACAAGCAAAAAATAGAATTAAAAGATACGTGGTAAAAGCAGGGTAGACTTATTAGTTTCTCTAACAAAGAATTCACATGGTGTTTCAGCGTCATGAAGGGTTCAAAGATAATTGATCGTCCGCATTCAACAACTGCGGATTTGCTATAAGAAATGGATTTGCATAACCTTCAGTAAGAGGACAAGTATCTTTCAACAAAACCTTGTTCTTCGTAGAATGAACCTGAATGAATACCAACATAGAGCTAACTGCGGCTAAGTTCAATTCTGGTAATCAAGCTGATTGAAAGTATTAACCAGAACCAGTAAAAGTATACACAAAAATGAAAAAGGGTCAAAATGACACGCACCTTCTAGACACACCAGCAAAGCAATGGACCAAAACAGACCCCTCTTTTCTACTCCTATCGATAAAATCAAAACAAACGTCCAAATAATCCAACAAATCTTCATTCTCCGTATCTCTCAGTGGAACCCCCATCCTCACCAGCTTCAAATCCTTGCCAGCATGTTCCAACAAGTACAGAAGCTTATCGGACACCAAACAACCCTTTTTCCTGTCACCGGAATCATCCTCAGAAGCTGAGGCACCACCAGACCCGCCAGCATAGACCTTCTTGATTTCCTTTGTGGGAATTGTTAGACCCTTCCATTCGGAGAAAACTGATATTGACGCTGAACTACGAACCGATAGAATATGCGTGATCTCTGTGCTACCATTTTGGAGAATCTCTGCTGCATCACTGATGTTGCCAATGAATAGATTTTCACGCACCCGGTACGGCATGACCACTGACAAATAATGGAATTCTCCTTAACCCAAGTTTCCCCTTTCTCTACGCTATTCGGCAGATTTCTATTCGGTTACTGAAATGATGAAGGAGAACAAAACTCATCAAATTATAAATTAAGAAAATCTAACTTCATATTAGATTAGTTTTTCCAGTTAATAAAATCCTCACACAATGTTGTGGGAATGGGATCGTCGTAGTGAATTCTGATTTTTTAAACACGGAAACAATTATTCAAAAATTTCGACTTTCTCGGCATCTCCTAATTTTCTCGGCAGCCAAACAGATAATATCAAATTATAAATTAAGAATCTAACTTCATCATTAGTTTTTCCAGTTAATAACATCCTCACACAATGTTGTGGGAATGGGATCGTCTTAACGAATTTTGATTTTTTAAACACGAAAACAATAATTCAAAAATTTCAACTTTCTCGGCATCTCCTAAAATTTTCTCGGCAGCCAAACAGATAATATAAGTTAAGTAGTCGCAGTAAACTACTTTGCGACCCGAATGAAAAACCAAAAAAATCCCAATATTCAATGGGGGAAATTCAAACAACCTGAATATAGAAACGTAAATAAAATCCAAATAAAATTTAAATACTGAGAAAAATAAATAAATAAATAAAAGAGAGATATTTGGAACCTCAAAATTGGGATTACTCCGGCGAGCGAGGGAAGGTTCCTTCTCTTATCAGCAGCACCTTCTGTCTGCGCGTTCTTTCGTACGTGCGACCAACTGATGTGCCCTCTCGGTGAAAGATTCTGCACGTGCGAGTTGTGTGTACGTGGAAAGACCAGTCCATTTTGGCTGATGAATATTGGTTGGCGGAACTGTTGGAACCATTTCACTATAGAAATTTTTAGTTGTGACGGGAATACAAGTGGTACACAACATATTTTAATAAGAGTGGTGAGAAATTTTATTTTTTAAGTTATTAACTTTTTAGCACATATATCTCACTATTTGTATAATAACATGTGGTGTACCACCCCGTATACCAGTCACATTGAAAAATCCCTCGTTTCATTGGAGGCTTTTGAGCATATGCCTTCATAATTCTTGACCCGAAAAGAATGACAATCCCTATTGAAATTAAAGAATATTATGTGTACAACAAAGTTTTCAAGGAAAAAAATTAAAAGATAAAAACTGTTAAATTCTCTTACTTGATCTCAACTTGTCTAACACCTATCTTGCCAAATAACTTATTTGTAAAATAAAAGGTGAGGGGTGAATAACAACCATCATCGTTCAATGAATAGAATATGTAAGATGTCAGTCAAGCGTGCTATTTTTACTCACATTCTAACATAATATAATTATATCAAAGTCTTCATCACATATCATGCCATATCACATCGTTCTTTCACATGTTGGTTATCCTTCATAATCTATAGCTCACTACGTGACCTCTAAATTGGCCATTCCACCCTAATGTCCCCGTGTGCCATACATTTATCCCTCAAATACCCCAACACTGAAATTCTCGTGCTTCATGAACATTTCTAAATAATCCACAAATCAACATATATAATAATACTGAAATAAAGCCTCATCCGCCAGCTCATGCAAACAAGGGAGGTGGATTGTCTACCCTCCCATTTCCATACTATTCTCATCCCCTCATGTTTGTGTGGTCACGGTTAAGCCACATCAATATTTTATATTGATTTTTTTATAAAAATAATAAAACAAAAAATAATATGAATATAAAATGTTGACGTGGATTAATCGTGAGCACACAAAACAGAAGATGATGATAAGAGTATGGAAATGGAAGGGCAGACAACCCGCCTTTGCAAACAAGAGTCCACTTTTCATCTAGCTATAACAACACTAATTAACCTAGGAAAAGTAGTTGCCAAGTAGACTTGTCAACCAAATAAACATAATATAATAATATAACACATAGATATATGTCACGGTTTAGGTTAAGTAACTATGAATAATATGCAACAAAATATGTAAAGATAGATATAAAATTAAGGGTAAATTACACTGTACCATCTCGGGTTTGAAGTCTATTACAATCGAATACAACATCTTCAAAACATGTCACTTTCATACCTTATCTATTATTTTATTTCAATATAATACATCCGTTACATTTTCCATCTATTGATCCGCTAAGAGCTGATGTCACTGCCACAATTATGTCACGTGGCAAAAAAAAAATTTATTCATTTAAAAATAATTAATTAAAGAAAAGTTATAAAAAAATAAAATAAACCATAACCCATCTTCTTCCCCGAGACCCCTCTTTCCTGCAACCTAAACCTCCCATCCCATCCACCCCACCCCGCCCCACCCAAAACCCTAAAATCAAAAGGGGGAATTGAATTCTCGAGATGAAATGAGGGAGTGGGGGTTTTGGGAAGGGCAAAGCAGAGGGAATTCTAGAGAGAGAGAGGGAGAAAGAGAGAGAAAAGTGGACTGAGAAGGAGAAAGCAGCTACAAGACCCCGACCCGTCTTCTTCTCCTTGTCTCTGTGGGGGCACCTCTATGTGTCTTCTGTAACTCTCGCTTCCAAACATAAAAACACATTTGTCGTTAAGTACTACATACTCCAAAATAAGAGCCTAATAAAAAAGTATTAATACACTACTATAAAATATCAAATGTGCAAGGATATGCAAAATGAAATTGTGATTGAGAATTAGGTTTTGTGTATGTACTGCTGAATGCTGCTCTAATTGGAATTTATAATTCAGTGGTAGGGATTTAACTTCATGAAAGTGTGATTAAATCGTAGTGCTGTTAATTATAATTTTTTTTTAGTGATATAAAATTATTAAATTAATATTTTTCTTATCGTGTTTTGGGTTACCCGCTTGTATACCTGGACCGACCCATTATCTTAACAGGTGTTTATTGGATTACCCGATAATGACCTGATTGGTTATCGTATCAACTTGAAACCTATTAATTTTGTGTCATTTCGGGTTGGGTTAACATGTCACATAAAAAATTGCCATGCCTAACTTAGGGTCCTCATTTTGAGGACCCGTGAGTTCCTCTTTTATATATGAGCCCTTAAATGAATCTAAAAGTAAATTAACCTATAAGCTTAAATTGTCCTCTCTTTTTTTTGGTTTGTTTTGAGTCCCAGAAACCGGTGGTGTTTTTCAGCGAGATTCTGTAGAATCCGAGATGGATTCAACCCTGTTTCGTCCAATTATTTATGTGGGTAAGTCCCATAACTTATTTCCACAATTTTGGTTGAATGTGGATCGAATTTGAGTTGAAATTGAAGGAAGAAATCACTGTGCATGATCTGGTTTTATTTCCTGTAAACCAGCGAGCAACACTGGTGAAATCTCAGTGAAATCGAGGAGAGATTCGTTTCAAATTTACCCAAACTCGTGTTAGATGATAGAATTTGCGAGATATTGGAGAGTGCTTGTTAAAACTAAAGGAAAACTAATGAAAATGGCTTGAAAACTTTGAGTTTTAATGATAAGGACAACAAAATAAAGGGTAAAGTGAATAGTATCAGGATTGACTTTTTAGTGTAAAAATGTGGTTTTTCGTTAAAGTGAACAGTACCGGGTGCTTTTCGTTAAAGTTCCCTAAAACTAATCCATACTTTATAGGTGCAATTGTAAGAAATCCAAACATAGATGAGGCACCTACTAAGGTTATGCTCGCATTATCGGTGATTGGATCCCTTCAAACTAAAGTTTTTAAATGAACTACTTATATATATGTTGATGGATATTAATGAGTTAGTCTTTGGTTGAGATTTAAATAGAAATGTGATGAACTTATATGCTTTGAAGCTAGTCTTGGATGAGACTCATATACATTGGTCAAATGACAATAAAATAGAATAAAAAAAACTTTTATTAGAACTTCAAAAATCTCATTCTAAACTCCTCATAAGTATATTTTTCCTTCTAATTATAAAAAGTTTGGAGTGCAAAATGAGATTTTTGGAGTGCCAATAACAATTCACTAGAATACGTCCATAATGGTGATTAATTTTCAATACATGGTCTCTTATATATTTGTATATCTATCTTCGGTCGTAGATTATTTGCAGGTGATATTATATTCTAATAGATGCTAAGATTATTGATGATTACCAGTAGTGAGTTTGGCTTGTAGATGATAGCGTACCATGCATGCAATAGTTATGCTAGTGGACGATAGTATGGTTATGATGACCTAAAAACTACTTAGCCTACCTGGCGTGCAGGCTGAATTGCTAATAAGCTAACTACGTCTTTCAGTCGAATGCGGGGCATGCCAACTCGTCAGCCGAGCTCGGTCGATGAGTGAATGAATGTTGAAGTGGTGTTAGGCATGCTAATGACTTTTGAATCTTGCGATTGCGGCCGAGGAAGGAACACGTTTCGATCTTCGGGTTCTGGAGTCTGAAGACAAGGATGCTAGTTCTACGAAGTTGAATAAATATTTGGCTTTCAGTGTGCCGAATGTAGTAACCTGGTGACACCCTAACTCACCGAAAGGATAATGAGATGACCTCTACCAACAAGGATTCAAAGTTTCCTTGTTGATTGAGACTTGGATAGATAACCGATTGGTCTCGAAACAGTGCTGTCTATCCAAACTAAAGGTGCTCCTCAGTTGGCTGGTTCTATAGCTCTAGTGCTGCTTATCCAAACTAAAGATGTTGCTGGTTTCCTTTACAATATTGTTTATCCAAATTGAAGGTGTGTTGGCGGGAAAAAAAGGTAAAAAAAAAAAAAATTCTCAAGATGTTTGAGAGGTTTCACGTAGAGCGAGAGTTTACTCAGGGCAGATTTGTGTGTTGACTTGGAGTGGGTTTGATGAATGATGTATTTCCTTCTCTATTTATAGTAGCAATTCTCACATGGCCAAAGTATAGTCCAACTTGGACTATATTTCTTGATCCAATCTGAATGGGCTGCAGCCAATCCTAGTATGTGTAGGACTTTGAATCTAGCCCTACTATCCTCCAAATTCAATCCTTGACCTTTAGTATATCCCTCTTGATTTGAGACATCATTGATATATGAGGATTCCTTGTTGTATCAGGACTCGGCCAACAATCTTATCCAAGTTTGTGATGAAAGCAAATCCTGGTAAGACTCAACTGAGCCTCCTTGGGTTGAGCTTTCCTTGCGTATATCCCAAGGCATTTTGGATTTACCTTCTGGTCAAGCCCATAATTGCTCTCTCGGCCCAAACTATTATTTTGGGTCCAAATAGATTGATTGAGTAAATGTATGATTCTAAACAATTGATTGAATGTTTTCGATTTTTAAACTTGATGTGATTTTCATTTACTATTATGTAGTTTTTCTACAATATATGTTTTACAAAACGGAGGTTAGTATGTTGAAAATGATTTTGACTTGATAATTAAATATGATCCACTCACACTTTGTTTTGCACCCCCTCAGGTCCTAGCAAGTGCAAGACTTACTTACTTTGAGAAGGGCAAGTGAGCATGGCAGTAGTGCGGACTTCTTACATTGTAGGGTAGTTTTACTTCTGCTTGTTGGTTATAAATGGGACAACGCATACTTTGTGGTTTACTAATGTGTGCACTACTGTTATGCTTTGATTGATCAAAATGGAATTTAGTTTTAAATTGTGTTCCCAAGTTGGGAGGTTGTGCAGGAGACTTAGATGATAGTATAAAATTAACAAATGAGCCTTTCCGTTCG